AATGGCAGGAGAATGGGGTACGGGCGTGGTGGCGGGAGCCTGTAGTCCCAGCTACTCGGGAGGCTGAGGCAGGAGAATGGCAGGAGAATGGGGTAAACCCAGGAGGCGGAGCTTGCAGTGAGCTGAGATCGCACCACTGCACTCCAGCCTGAGCGACAGAGCAAGACTCCATCCCCCCCCCAAAAAATAAATAAACAAAAACAAATAAAGAAACAAAAAATCAGATGCACAAGCAACCCACCAGGAATACTGAAAGCTGCCAAACTGCATTCAGTAAACATTCAGAACCAGGTTATAATTTTCATTTTTAAAGACATGGCTATCTACCTCCTTCCAACAATTAATTCTGTGTTCCCTTCCAAAAAGTTTCACTGATCCAGCATGAGGAGAGTGCACGTCTTTTCCCCTTGTATTTAGACCATGGGGCCCTATTGACAGCCTTAAAGGCTACTTGTACCCCTTGATCCTGTCCCCATCATCCAAAGAATCTTGATATGTGAATGAGGTTGCATATTCTAGGAAAGAGGCAAGTTCAAATGACACAGCCCCTGCCGTCTGAAAACGTAGGAGGGAAAACAGGGCACTAGGCTAAGAATGCCCGAACCTTGCTTTGTTGCTGGAGCAAGTCACTCAGCGGCTCTGGGCTTGAGGTCCCCCTCCAAGGTCCCTGCTGGCCCTGACATTGTATGTTGCGACCCACGCCTGGTGCCGCGTCTCTTCCCACTAACTTTTTTCCCTAAATACCTCAACTGTACTTTTGTGGTAAGTCCTCCAGCTGTCTTCACTTTAGTTTTGGCTCCTGGACAACTCTGCCCAAGGAACCATTTCCTCCTTTCCTCCTCTTCCTCCCAGCCCAAAGCCCTAATTGTCTCTTCTGCTGCACCCTGGGTCTCCCAGGCAGGCCCCGCCACTCAGACCACAGGTTCCAACACCTTCCAAGTCTCCAAGTTCCCAAGTCCAGTCTTCCCTCTGTTTTCTCCTCTTTTTCAGAAAACAATGCTCTCACAGGCCCCCAAATCTTCCAGTACGTCATTACCGGCCCCCACTCCCTCTTTTGCAGCTACTGTGCCTTCCACACCCCTTTTTTTGGATTCCAAAAGGGGGCAGGAACAGGCCAGTGCTCTCCAGGCTGGAGGATCCTACCAGTTATTCTCCGACCCTGTCCCCTCCGTCCAGCTCGGCCAGGGCGCACTCCGCCCCCAACCTCCCTACAAGCTTCCTTGGCCTCGCGCGGCACCCACCTTTTGGGCCGCAGAGAAGCCCCCTCCCCAGCTCGCTCGCCGCATCGGAGAGCCCGCAGGGTTGTGGCAAGGGCGACTACGTGAGCGTCGGTGTGTCCGGGAGGCAGGGCCTGGGCTGGGTTCCCGGAGATGTCGGCGGGGGGAGGAAGACGACGAGGAGGAGGAGCCCGTTATCGCACCCGGGCGGGGCCGGCAGCGGGGCAACCCCGGCCCGAGCAAGCAGCGCGACACCAGCACCCCCGCGCGGCCGCCTGGCCTCCGCCAGCCCGGGACGGGGATCGTCCTAGGTCCTGTCGCCCTCGGTGGCCTGAGAGCCTACCAACTGTATTTCCTCGCGTTTTATAGGGAAACTAGGGCCCGGAGAGAGACGAAGCAGCTTGTCCTTAATCTCCAAACCCCACTACCCAACTTTGGAGACGTCTCCAGACCTGTCGGGACCTGGGGCTGGGAACTTGTGCTAGGTTCGAAGCCAGAACAACAGGTGGCAAAGGGATCAGCCGCCGCAGCCGCAGCTCCCGGGTCACGGTCGCAGCCGGGCCCAGCAGCGCTGTGGAGCACGTGGGCCCGGGAGGCGCTTCCCAGCTGCGGTCCCTGGATCGCCTATCCACGATGAAGCAACAGCTCCCTGGGGCCAGCTCCCTAGAGTGTTCCGGCCCCAGTGTGCCAGTGCAAGTCGCACGGTGAACATGTAGGTGACAGGAACCCAAACGGGTCCCCGCTGCACGCCCTCGCCTTGTTGTCCCCGGCCCTTCCCTCGGACTCGAGGCTTGGGGAGGTACGTACCGGGTTCAGCTCATAAGTCCCGAGGGCAGACGCGCCAGCCCACGGCAGCATCCGCACTGGGGGAACAGGGACAGCGGCCGCGACGGCACGAGCTGGGCGCCGGGGTCGGGTTCGCGCCCCCCGCCGGCGGTCACGTCCGTCAGTGCGCAAGAGCTGCGCACTCACCTCCTCCCTCCAGCAGTCACCCGGGACTCGAGCTCCCCACGGCCGCGCTGCCCCCTTTAACTTTCCGGCCACCTCTCGGGACCCCGGGTTCCATCCCAGGCCCCCTTCCACGTGAACGCCCCCCGCAGCCAATGGGCACGCCCGGGACCCCAGCCGCTGACCAATGGACGCGCAGCCACG